AGCAGGGCCCATTATCTATCACAATGTCGGTGTCTCTCAATATACGAGTGCTCATTACAGCATTTACTTCGCCTTAAATCAAAGGATAAACTCGCCACCTTGACTGGCTTCAAGAAATAAATATCCTTAACTTCCAATTCTTGTTTGTTGTAGAAGAAACATTTTTTTCAATGGAAAATATAGCTTGCCGTATAACGTGAAAACATCTCAGAGTTGAGAATACCCATAACCCACAATAAGATGTGAATGTTTTAGACGAAGAAATCCTAGAAAATAAATAAATGACGACCCAGAACTATTTAATTAATAATAATTATCTTTTTCAAACGTAATCTCAGTACAGAGTGCTAAAAAAACTGAACCTCAAAAGTTTGTGGAATTAACTCTATTTTTTATTGAAATTGGTTACCGGACAATACGCGAAACCGGATTCATCCCCCAGTTTGCTACGTTTATATTTTCCTTAAATGGGACTGAGGTAACCTCTTTCAACAAAAAAATAATTATCAAAATCGGTTCACAAATTATCGCGATGAACGTGTAACACACATACAAAAATAAAAATACACTCGAATAGAAGAACCTCCTCCTTTATTTGAAGTCGGTTAAAAACAAGAATAGTTGATGATGGATTTGAATTTAGTAATTAAGAATTTATAAAATTCTTTACCAAAATCGCAGGGGTCGAATTACTCGAGGACGCCGAGCATTACAGATTACCAAGACTGGCCTGTCTCTTGTAGCGTGTAGGGGGCACAAGGGAAAGACCTGGGTGCGGATTTTACCATTAGGTAAATTGTTGATTCAGTGCCTACTACATTTAGAAACCAGCTTTAGCATTGTGTTAATTAATGCAGTTACTAAAGAAAATGGTAGTTCAATGAATATCCTATGAATACTATTTTCTAGGGAGAAACGTTTTAATGGTTACATACATCGTTATCTATTGTCTATAGAATGTCTGCTATCCATAGACAATGTGTTGTAGAATCATACTCTAGTCCATAGATCATACACTCTATATTTGACACTCAAGTTCTTGCGATTGGGTTCGTATTTCCAGTGTTTGAAATCACACTCAAGTCCCGACTTGAGCATTGAGTACAGTTCTGGAATACGACTCTTCATGGGGAGTCATTTTGCAGACAATAATTTTATTAGCTCACGTTTTAGGCATACTCTTCACCATAAACATATCTCTATGACCTGAGTATTTTTCATTTGCAACATTTCTAAGAATCGGCTGTTTTAATCATGAAACGAAAAGATACGTCGGGTGTGGTGACCAGTGTTACTATTTAAAAAATCGGCAATTACGTGCATTTTTTGCACGCTTTTTCAAACGTCTACCTCTCTTGTGGTGTATTAATTTACATCTCGCATTACATGAACCGACAGTATTATTTTAATTAGTCATTATTCGCGAAGAGTAGCATTGGTAATTTTTTTTAAAGTTTATATCTGTTATATTAATTATATTATTTTCTGTTTTATACGTAAAAAAATTATCAAATAAACAAATCAGTTTTTTGGCAACCCTAATTGTTTATTGACAAGTTGAATGACAGACGGCGGGGTCTTGCTCGATTGATGGCAGCTAATTTACAAGAAATAAATGAATCGTTACCAAGATTGTTTCCGCTTTCGTCCTTAATTCTTGTAAAAATGTGGTTGAGTAGTGGAGTTTAAGTTATAAACGCACGTGTTTAACGTGCATATCGTGTGAAAAAATGTATATCTGTAGAACGCTAGAAGCCATTTTTGCTATATTTATTTTATGTGTTCATTGTGATAGTGCAGCTAATTACAACGAAATTACGAAGATTTATGGTAAGTGCGAGGCATTTACTGTTATGTTATACGTAAGAAAGCTGAATACGCTTCACATTTGTAAATATTTCATACGATAATCCGTCTTTATAATCCAAGTGCTGTCAATATCACGTACTCTTGGTGTTCCAGTTCCTGTTGGCAGTTAGTAATGCGCGTATTGTTAGCTTTATTTGTAAATATAATCCACAGATTTGGTCTTGAGTTTTTACTATATTTCACATTTACATTTGGTACATAGAAACCAACCTGATGATATATACCCGTTTATTTATGTATGTGTTAATATATACTAGTTGAATTTATTGAAATGTATGTTCTTTTTGCCACTTTTACAATTAGATGCAAATGATTCTTATTAATTATATTTAAAAAATAAAAAAGTTGGCTAGATGAAAATGTGAAATGAAACAAATAGTTACAGGACACTCTAATAAATAAGGAAAATAATCAAATAATATTAAATAATTAATTATCATTAAGTTAATTATCTTTGTCTGTTCATTTGTACTTGTATAATTTCTTGCATTACAATGTAAAGTAATTTTTATTTACATGTAATTAGTTATAATTAATGTTCAAATATTGCTGTGTACAGTGTGTAGGTAAATTACTTAATCCGCCGGCACTCGCTAGGTGTTCACAGACACGATTACTCGCTACCGGGTAGGAAGTACCACAGAATTTAAGGGCATTATCTAAGAAAGGAAAATTGATTTCTCAATCTGTGAAGATGTAGCAGTTTTAATGATGTAATTTTTAGTAAACAAAATTACAAATTACAACTTCTAATAAAAAAATAGTTATAAAAATTATAGATTATCATAGAAAATTACTAAAAATTAAAAAAAATATGTATACTGCTATAAGAATCAACAAACATATTTTTTATTTTTAGGAACATGCAAAATTGAGATCCATATTAAAAAGTAGATTTAATGTACTATCAAAATAACAAAATATCAGTATTTTTATAATACGCAAACAACTGAAGAAACTGAAAAAAATCAACATGAAGCAATGTGCTCCAAGCTCGTTGGTCCAATTTGACACATTTGACATCAAACTATTATATTTCTGATTTTCAATCACAAATCATACTCAATTATAAAGGTTGAAAAGAAAAACATATATTTTCTCATTTAATATTTTATTTTATTTATATTTTTTTATAGTTAATTAATATACCCGAATATTTTCAAGGTGCGATTGAATAGGCATCTTCTGGGCGAGCTCGTACCAACGTAGACCTCATCTTTGCTCTAGGGCTAGGTAGTGGTCCATTTTTAATAAAAAAAAAAAAAAAAATATAGTTATAATGAATATAATTATAGTTAATATAGTTAATTTTCAAGTTTTTTACATCTTTATACTAAAATTTACAAAATGTCACTATAATTTTGTTTTTAATTTATTGGTTTGCTTAGTGCGCGTCCGCATTATGTCGTGACGACAAATAGTCGTGCACTTTATAGTATCGTGCTTTGTGTTTTTAAATGAAATTGTTAACACTTAGTAAAATATGATTAACTGACATTCACGACTTTTTTGACGTTACGACGACAGACTGCCGTGACAATGGGAAGAGCTAGAACGACAGTCGTCAGACGATAAATAAAACGTCACGATAAAAATGTGACGACACATAATCGCATCTTCAAACGATTCCGTAGTGTAAACGACAAGGCGGCTGCCGTGAACCGATAAATTGTCGTCACGATCAAGTGGGAACAGCTAGACACGAAGAGTCGTTCAACGATAAAATAAACTGCCACGACACAGTCACGACCGATAGTCGTGATATGGGAACAGTCTAGACGCGATAAATAAAACGTTACGATATAAAGGGAACGCGCCCTTACAGTTATTATAATGTTACAAACTATAAATTATGAAGATCTTATCTATTTGCACAGTTAATTACAAGTAAACACAGCTTGCAAAATCAACATAACTATAGAAAAATAAAACCTTTAAAACAATAGCTAAATTAAAAAAAGTAATTGTCAAACAAAAACTAAAAATATAAGTGAACAAGGGTGTCGAGCAGTATATTTTATTCAGATTCTTTGTAACTATTGTTCTTTATATTACTACAAAAAGATTTTACATAAATTTGCATAAACATTCCTTCCTAAACAAACATTCCTGTTTATACTAAATTGTAATATGGCTTAAAAATATTCAATTTTGTTATATTACTAGCTGAATCCGGTGTCCATTGCAATTCCATCGAAAGAAAAAAACAGTGTTTTAGCTGTGTTCATTAGACACATTTGTTGAAGCAACTGATTCACCTAATATTTTAAAATGTTTCTAATACTTTAGAAATAATAATAATAAAAATACTTCAGAAACTGGGTGTAGGCTTAACAACTCGCAAAAGTTATATCGCAATCAGATGATGAATAATTAATGTAAAGCATAGTGGACAAACATAAAACAAAAATTTTTTATATATAAATTTGTGCAAATTAAACACTAAGATTGCTCACTCAACATTAATAAGTTTACATACATTCATGCAAATTGTAATGAATGTTTGTGATTGTGACATATCTTCCAGAAACATGACTTTGACAACGATTATTTAATCAAAATTGAATGTAAAATTACAACAATTGGATATATTGAATGTAAGAGTTTTTTTATTTTATGTACTAGAGCATAAAATCCTATTTTATGCAGCCTACACCCAGCATAAATACGAACTTTAAGAGCATGAGAAGTGAAAATTGTTTTTTGTAAGTCCGTTATTTAATAGTAAATACCTACACAATTTGATCTAGCAAAACAGGTTTTCCCGCTTCTCCAGTGATTCGCCTTAATTTACGTACGCGGGTTTAATTTTTGTAGTTCATTTTGGAAGGAGCTGAATATTTTGGATATACAGTGTTTTTTTTAATGGGACAATATGTTGAAATCGGAAACCATAGCAGGTACAAGGAAACAGTTTTAGGTACCATTAAGTCTTTTTTTGCGAAAGCAATTTTGGCATAGTAAATTTTTTGGTCTAGCGTGAGTGATAAATATGATAAAATTGATCAAAATTTTTTTTCTTATGTTCGACTTCGTTTCAAAATCGTAACAGCAGAAGTTGGTCAAATTTCATAAAATATTTTTTCATTCAAATTTAATAAAATTGACCGATTTTTTTTAACGCTAACAGACTCCGTTTCTTATAAGAATGATTTTAATTATTAATGTAACAAGATATATTTACTTTGGTGAAAGATTAGTTACCAAATCCAACTTCAGCTTCCTAGATGAGTAGTTTTACCTTACTATACAGTAAAACTATTTCCGGAAATCCGGAATTTAAAAAGTAATTAATTAACATTTGGTGGTTTCAACCATTCTATATCACTCCTTGTATCTATATGTAGATTATTGTCTACTCATTTATCATACTCATTACGTATTTTACACACAGGGCTCTATTCATACGTATTTTATTTAAAATAATAATGTCCAATTTTGGAAATGAAATTATTTTTTCGGATAAATGCGTTTTTTTTTCACATTAACCCATTATTTCCGGCCATTGATTTCAGACTCATACGATCTCATAATTTTTTAATAGTTTCATTTCAATATGTAGCAATCGAGGAAATGTAAGAACACTTAATGCTAATCTTATATAAGATAAAGAAAACATATCTTTTATAATATTGATTATATTATGCACTTACAAGGTTATCTGTCACATAAAGATGCATTCCATTTATGCCATGTTGTTTTTCAAATAAACCAACACAACGTTCGTTGGCCAGCCAACCATAGCCGTGGGACCTGTAAAGAACCCGAAACATTGGCTTGTTTGGAAAAACAAATATGCGCGATTTAGATCCGCAAAAATTGTTATCATTTCCAATGTGTTTCCAAAAATCGCGAAAACCTGGGAACTCGATATAAATACATAATATATCGATAAAATTAGTGTCGACGAAAAATCACAAGAAATATTTTGTTCGTGATACCAATATTTCAAACAAAATGTCACTATTCTAATATTTATTGAGAACAGGCTATCAAAAGCCGCTAAAACACTTTAATAGACTTGTTATGATGATATGAAATGAGGCCGAAATTACGTCGTTACATCCTTACGTCCATTAAGAATGAGTCCACTAATGTTTATCGAATACTCACATTTACAACAAAGTGGAAAATAATAATGGAAGTATATTTACTATACAAGGTTGTTTATTACTATTTTTTTTTAAATAATTTATTCAGACAACGTCGTATATGCTATCACCCGCATGACACTTAATAGTTCTACAGTTTATGTGAACAATATGTCTCATGACAACAAACATGATTACAAAGTGGAAATAGGATAAGTCCTTTAGTTTTAAATTGTTGCGTTCTGTGTTTCTTTGTGACATAATACGTTTGATATCATCGAGTGCTTGGCAAAAACTGTTGCCAAAAAACTAGGCATGCTTTACAAGGTCAGGCTGTACTTCATACCTTAACTGCTTTTAAATCTGTATAAAGTAAGTTCAATCGTGTATTACTGCCACCATTGGGATGGCTCTGCCCATTGCCATTTAGCTGCGTTGGACTCAGTGGGGCGAAAAGCAGACTTATTAACAACAATTCTCTTGTGGAGTCGAAGCTACACAATCTCGACCATCGCAGAAAAGTAGCCTGCTTCTCGGTTTTTTATCGGATACATTTCAGGGAGTGTGCACAGAAACTTTCAATTTGGTTCCACCTTCACCGTTTCTCCTTCTGTAAACTAGAAGGTCCGGAACACTCGATCCTTATGTCGTTGGTATACTACCCATTCGCACTAAGCGCTTTGCTTCTTCCTTTCGTACGGCAAAGGAATAGAATTCTCTGAGTTTTCCAAAAAGTACAATTTGAGACTATTCAAGCCTAGAGTGAATATGCATTGTTTAAGCGAACGCGTACCATCGTTGATCATATCGTCGCTTAACATCAGGTGAGATTGTGGCCAAGCGCTTGTATATTATTTATAAAAAAAAATT